AGTGAAAAGAAAAAAAAAAACTTTTTACTAACACTAATACTAAAGGAGAGGTACTAAAAAAAAATAAAAACTAATACTAAAAAACAAATACAAAAACGAAAAGAGAAAAAAAAAAAAGACTCTGATAGGTTACAATTATAAGCCTGTGTTGGGCCTTAAAAATTATATATTAATAGATAAAGACGCTCTGTATCTAACTTTATCTTAATAATATATATGTAAGTAAAAAATATATAAAAACACATCAACTAAATAAGACAGAGTAGCCCAAGAAAAAGAAGTCTCGAAGTATTGTTTAATAGTTTTTCCGGTCAAGGCACATATACTATTGTGTTGTCATACAGTCCGTACATGGTTGCTTAATCTGGTTGTCTGTCTGATATCCTGTTTAGAAAGTTCTATCCACATACAAACAATACCGACTGTTTTGGAAAATTACGTATCGATCTTTTGGAGAGGGTAAGCTGAAACACCTACTTTTTGACAAAATTTTCTCGAAAAAAGTGGTAGACCAACGAAACTTTTCTGTGGTTGTTCCTTGTAAGTTTTACGGTTGTATAGAGGTACTCAAAGCTTATAATACTCCTGGTGTCGACCTAGTCATTCTATGTTCCCAAAATACCCTTTTGGTATGGATACCGAATATGATAGAGGAGTCCGCTAGAAGAAGAGCTTGACCTCTACAAAAACCAGTCTAAAATTGATCGTGCCTCGGTTTTATACTCTTGGTACTTCATCAACAACACATTTACTTCTGTAGGACCAAGTTTATTATTTACTTAGACGTCTTCTATAGCGCTGACTGTAGTTTGGTTTCTTGATTTTTGTTGATCAGATGATCATCGGAAAGAGTTGTAAATAATTTTGTACATATCATAATATTAATAATTACTAGTTATTTATATTCTAGAATATTTAGTTCGAAGAGTAATTTTATTACAATATATTTGTTGCCGATATTAATTAGACTACTAAAAAGATATATGTAGTATTAAAAATTTAATAACAAAGTGTGATCTTATTTTAAAATACAATCAACTTTTTCTATAACGAGCTAAAGATTCTGAAAGAAAAAAAAGTTCATTATATAAATTACTATATCTTTTTATACTAAACTATTATGAAATTTCAAAATTTTGAGTCCATTATACCTAAAGTTCATTATAAGAAGGTTTGTTATACCTAGAATCAACCATAAGTTGATATTTTTATTCTGAAAGTTTTAAAATTCTTTTAAGTTTTTTAATCGCAGTTTGTTCTTTATCAATAGATTCATCGATTATAGCTCTTTTCTGTCTATTTTTTAAATGAATATTTGATAGTTTTTCTAAAGTGAGTGAAGTTTTAAAAGGTTTAGGTTTGAAAAGTTGTATTCTTAATTCTTGTAAGCTTAGACATATTAGGATGAGTTTTAAAATCATATTTATTAAACATTCCCTCAAGATGTTGTTGATAAATGATTATAGACCAAATTTTATATTTGATAAAATCGTATATTAGTAGATAATTAGACATTTCAGTATAGGTAGATTGTGAAAAGGCCAAAAATTGTTCTTGAAAATCGTTATCTTCTAATACTTGAAACAATCCAAAAGATTCTTGTTTTTTTGCTTTCAAATCATTTATTAGTTCATTTATATATTTTTGTTATATTTCTGTAAAATTATTCAAAATTTAAATATTTAATATAACTTTAATAATTGCAACTGCAAAATCAGGACCATGAATTTCTCCAAGATGGTATATAGAAAGAGGTAAATATGTCTACAGATCTATCTATTTTTTAAATGCTTCTAATGCTTTTACTAATCCATTTTCAATTCTATTCATTAGATCAATAAATTCATCTTCAGATAAAATTTCGTAGGCCAATAACAATTCTTCTACAAAGACTTCGTCTAGATTTTTAATAGCTATTTGTAATTCATTTATCCATTGTTCTACATTATCTGGCATTTCACCTGCTTTAAATCTGTTTGAAAGATTTGTAAAATTTGTATCTCTGCCAATTAAAAAAAATATTACTTTTTCATAAAACCATTCACCAAATCGAGCTATAATTTGAATTTCTATATTTAAATTTTCACTTTTCAAGAAACTATAAAATGTTTCTTATTTTCTAAATAATTATTAGGAATATTATTTGATATTTTTAGTTAATTAATAAACCAATCTGAAAATTGAAGATGAATATCTTTTTGATTTAAATATTGTTTAGCTATAGTCAATTGATATAACCAACGGGTGGAAATAGGTTTTTGATATTTTTTAAGATTATAGTTCATTACCGTTTTATATAATTTACTAATTATTTCTGTTTTCATATTTAGTAGATTATTTTTATCAGATTCGTTATACTCGCAATGAAGATAATAAGCTAAATTAAGAATATTAGATGGGTGTGGTTTTAAACAAATTCTAGATAGTGATTTAGTTTTTCCAAATGTTGTATTATTAAAATGTACCAAAGCTATATGTAAT